ACCTTTCCCGGCGCCGCCCGCCCCCCCCCCCCCCCCCCCACTGTCCAACACACAGACAGCCCAGTCTGGCAGCAAGTTGAGTCAGTCTTCTGCCCAGCTGTGGGTTAGGATACGGACAGTGTCTCCGTGTCTCCTGTATGCTCAGGCAAAGTCAAGAAGGCCGTTCTCTCCATTTGCCAGTCTCTTAAATTGTATCTGTATTTGTTATACTATAGTTGTCATTCACTTAGTGTCTGGGTTTAAATCAGCAATTAGTGATTCATGTGGATTCAAAAGGACACAAACAAGGAAAGCCCTTTGGGAAGTTTGGACTTGGGGTGGTGTGTGTGGCTAAGAGGGCTGAGTGGAAGGGTGGGGCCAAGGGCAGGAAAAGAAACCACCAATGGGAAACTAAAGAAATGTGACATTTGTGCCTTTTGTTTCTTCTGGCTGCTCAAGAAATGTAAGGCTGCCTGCTGGGCCCCCCTGCTGTTTGCTCTCTGGACCACTCTAAGGAGTGGAGCTCGGGCACTGGCACTGGGCAGGTGCTGTCATCTTCTCTTCACTCCCACTCTCATGTCTAAACAGGTGCCATGGAGGAAAATGAGCATCAAGGTGGTCATAAAGGGGAGTGGTGGCAGAAGGCTGCATGAGGGTGAAAGTGGGAAGGTTTGGAACTGTGGACATGCATGTTAATCTCTGCCTGATTCTGAGCCCTACTGGTGCAACCTCATCTTTGCTCATCACCTGATGACTCCCAGTATGGCAGGGGAGGAGGCCTTGCTACTACTTTCTTAACCTGGGAGAAGCAGAACGTGTTTGGGAAGGGAATGAAACCCATGTTGGGGTCTTCCTGCTTGCAGTCTGGTGTGGTCTGATTCATGCATCAGCATTCTTGCTGTGTAATGTGACTTAATGTGTAGCATGAATTTACTTATTTACTTTATAAAAAGTATAAATGTTATTGTGTATATTTAAGGTATACAACATGATGTTAGAAGATACATATATATAGTGAAATGGTTACTGCAGTGGAGCAAATTAACATATCTGTCATTTCATATAGTTACCCATTTTTCCCCATGGTAAGAGCAGCTATAATTTACTCATTTAGGGAAAATCCTAAATATGATACACTATTATTAACTATAGTCCTCATGTTGTACATTAGATCTTTTGACTTGTTCATGCTCCTTATTTGTTAGTTTGTATCCTCTGAGTGTAGTGTGAATTTGAAACAGCAAAGAATCCCAAGGTTTTTAACGCATAACTGGGATAAAATTCTGTTTGTAAAAAGCTGGATAAGGCTAGGAGCTTTGCAAAGTGAGATAGATACAGGTGCCAGCCTCTGGAAATTGCAATTTGAGTTAGGAAACCCCATGACCATACGTGAAGGGGTAGACAGGTTGAATCTCTGAGACGCTTGCTACTCCCTCGACATCGTTACACCTGTGCTTTCCTGCTTCGTTCCTTTGCCAACGTCTAGGATTTGGATCAGGTCCCTCTTTTCTGCCTGTTGGGATACTGGTTCCTACTCATGTCTTTGTCCTACTGAAGCGACATGGCTTTGTGCTTGTCCTCTTGATCACCATCACCGTGTCTTATTTCCTTATGTTGCAGCCCTGGGTGTCCCACTCAACTTGGGAACTGCCACCACAACCTTTGTTCCAATTCCAGAGCCGCCTGGGTCTGGTTGAGCAACAAGGACAGTAAAGTCTCCACGACTGAGAATGGATGGAGCCTGAGGGGCAGAAAATGAGAGAGATAGTAGGGGTTGGTGTGAATGAGTGCAAGAAGAGGGAAGGAGGAGGGAGGGAGAGGATGGTCGGGGCTGTGCCTGTGCCTGGGAGCAGCCTGTGTGACTGACAATGACATGGAAAAATGACAGTAGTGTGGAGAGAGAATGGAATTTGTGTCTGCAAGAACAGGAAGGGAATAATCAGGAAAGATGAACGTAAGCTTTACACATATAAAGTATATTTCGATTTTGCGTAGCCATGAAGAGTTATACCTCCCAGACCAGTGCTGATGTTGCAAACAAGATGTAGTAGCTGTAAAAGTGTTAGCAGTGAGAAATGTAGGAGATTGGGACGTTTCTGGATCAACACAGTAGAACCTGTGGATGGCTAATGATCATTCGTGTTCTCCTCCAGTGGGAGAGAAGTTCACTTACAGACTTTGGGAAGCCTTTCGTTAGAATAGGATGGGACTGGGCTGAGCCCGTGGCGCACTCGGGAGAGTGTGGCGCTGGGAGCGCAGTGGCGCTCCCCGCCGTGGGTTCGGATCCTATATAGGGATGGCCGGTGCGGTCACAGCGCTCACTGGCTGAGCGCGGTGTGGCCGGTCTCAAAAAAAAAAAGGACAAAAAAAAAAAAAGGATGAGATTGAGGAAGCAATCACTTTCTTCCCAGTTAGTTAGGGAAGGCTTCTTGGGGGAGAAACCAGAGGTACCTCCAGAAGAGACTGAAAGAAACTTTGATATACTGATGGGTATGAGCTCAGAGGCAGGAGTGGGGTAATCAAAGGCAGAAGAGAAGGAGGCAGCAGAGCTGGTTTGGGGCAGTCAGGAGAAGACTTCTGAAGGAAGGGGATGAGGATTATGATTTACAGATGAAGAAGCACAGCTGTCCTAACAACTGTCCCAGAGGTAGGGTACTTCCCTTTTCCAGGGACCATTGACAGGGGGGCTGGAGAAGGGATTTCTTGTCATGAGAACTAGACTGGTTAGGATGCTTTTCAACAGTGAGAATCATTGAGCCACCTCTGGGCATCCAGGGCTGTGTTAGAATGTCCCAATTTCGTACATTTTTCATTGCAGCAAGACTATTGCTCTTACAGTAGTAATTTCAACTATCCTAACTAGCCCTTACTATGAACCAAGCCCTATCTCCTTCAGTCTTCACAACAATCCTACAAAATAGATACCTGTATTATCATCTTTTTTGTAGATGGGGATATTGAGGTCCATGTAGGTTACTGACCAGGGTGATGTGGTGCTCTACAGTGTTAGGGACCCAGGCTCCTTCTGTTCTGTTCCATGTGTATGCCCTCAATTCCCAAGATCATCTCATGGTCCACGATGGCTATTCTAGTCCCAGCCATCAGGAAGGAAGAGAAGGGTTGGTGAAGGGCAGGCCCTCTTAATTTAAGAATACTTTCTGGAAGTTACACACATACCTTCTGCCTGTATCCCCATTGGCTAGAACTTAGCCATATGACCATACTTAGCTGCAAGGGAGGTTGGGAAATCATCTTCTTCTGAATGTCTGTGTGCCCTGCTCAGAACTTGGCATCCTAATACTGTAGGGAAAGGAGAGAACAGACTTTTGGGGACAGCTACTGGTCTCTGCCA